TACAGGCTCGTCGCCTTGCAGTATTATGTTGCATTCAAATCCCTTGCGAAAAGCACTGGGAGAAGTTTATTCCTTAAAACTTGAATCACTTATAAGTATACGACGTGTACAACTTGTAACATATTTAGATATCGAAACAGCCAAAAACTGCTTTTCAGTAACGATGGTCTCAAATTTGAGGATAAAATTTGCAGTTTATCCAAAGTCTATCTATCATGATCTGTAAGTTGCACGTGCGCACAACGCACAAACATCGCATAAAGACCGAGTCCAACTTAGCTGCAACCCACCGCCATCATGTTGGTAAGTCAGGGAGACTAGTCGCAGTTCACTTGACTGGGAGCGCTTATTGACGGTTGTTGACGTGATTTACCTTTTAGACATCTTATTACCTTCTTGTCCTTATCACCATCGACACCATACGCTGCACTCGTCTTCTAGACTTCTTGCTTCTTGACCATACGATCTTTCCACTACTCCCTTCGCCGGTTCATTAGCTAAGCTCACCTTATCTTTCGTATATAGACCGTGCTGGCTCGTAGTATCACCTCAGTATTGTTTCACGCATACTGAGGTGTGTATTTCTCTTCCCACTCGTATCTCACTCTTGCTCATGTATCCTAGCGTTCCTCCGCTAGGTATATATCAATTTAGTATTGTTTCACGCATACTGAGCGTTCCTCCGCTAGCGCGTATAGCGCTCACAAGTACTCTCGGCGTCAACGCTCGCAAGCACGTGTTCCATCATGTTCGTAGCCTGACTTGCTTGTGTACCCACCACTCTGCTATGTCTGCACAACCTCAAACCCTTCCCAATTTCGCTAGCTTTACTTGGGATCTAATATATAAGTATAACCTATTCATGTCACAAGCATCAGGCACCGACGACGCCGAGGATCAGCTCAGTGTACAACGCTGAGGCAGCCCTCCCCTGCAAATTGACGCCGAAGGACTCATCGAAGAGTTAGGTTGCAGCTTCCTGGAATCTGTCACCCGTCTAACAGCAAGACAGGGAGGAGATATATTTTTCTTTGGCGGAGCTGCCACCAGGGATGTAAGCGTCTCTCTTCCCTAATGGGCGTCTGCGCCGCTCCTCACCAGAAACTGCAGCTCGAATGCTGGGCCTTCACAGCCGTCAGGACCTCACGTACAAGGAAGCACACCCAATGTTCCACCAGTCGGTGATTTAGCTCCGTGAGTTATTGTCGATAATGACGTCAAACATGCTCCTGAATTGTCTCAGCGAGGGGGACAAGGTTGTGGCAGACAAGGACCAACCAACTCTAAGCGAATTGTGAGCGAAAAATAAGTCAAGCGATCGCAGCTGACGACACTGTACACGCAGAGCAAATGTCATGAAGCAAGTATTAGACATTCTCCAGGACTCCACGATTGCGTCGAAGATAGGAAAGGACAAACGGTCTCGTTTCTGGGGGGTGTACAAACGAGTCGCAGAGGAACACGACGGCGAGTTCCTTGAGCGATACACCACTGACATGGACATTGTCCTGATCTTCGTAAGTTTAGCGCTCTTATCTTCGGCGCATTGAGACTGATGTTTGATCAGTCTGGTCTTTTCTCGGCTGTCAGCACGGGTTTCATCGTCGCGATAGAGTCCAATCTCAATCCCGACCCCAGCGACACGACGAATGCCCTTTTGAAGCAAATCGTGCAGATCGGACTCGGCAACCTCGCTGAGGCAGGCACCGCTCCTGTAGACCCAGGATCTACGTGGTCGCCATCTGCGTTGGCTGTGAGGATCCAGTTGGTCGCATACGCAAGCTTGTCCATGAGTTTGCTCGCTGCATTCGGGGCCGTACTAGGCAAGCAGTGGCTCGGGTACTACAAGTCGAACAGGTATGGCCGCGGCTCGGAGGAGGAACGAGGCAAACGCAGGCAAGAGAAGTTCGACGGCATCGTCACATGGTATTTTGATGCTGTCGTGCAATGTTTTCCTGTCATACTTCAGATCTCACTCCTTCTCTTCGGAATCGCCCTCGGAGCCAATATGTGGTACGAGCAGCGGAGCATCGCCTGGGTCATCATCGCAACGACGGCCTTCGGATTTCTGTTCTATTCCCTGACGGTGATGGCATGTTTGATATCTCCTGCTTGTCCATTCCAGACACCAACATCGACGATGTTACGCATGTCGCACATCGACAGTGAGATCAATTTTACTAAATTCTAGTAGTCGTTCCCCGTCTGAATCAACATGACAGGGGTTCTACACCTGCTATTCAAACAAGCCTCCAGTTATTTCCAGCAGCTCACGAAGTCGCTGCACAGTGAGTTATGTGTTCTCCCACGTGGGCAGGTTTTGACTGTTGCATGTCAGGCATGCTGGAACGATTGCTTGACATTTTCAGACCAGGATGGAACCGATTGTCTGAAGTATCTAGAGGTGACGATCTTATCTACTAACACAAAGATACTCAGTACTCATTTCACTCCTCAGGCCCTGTACATGCGATCGGAGCATTCGCACAGCGATTTCTTCAGCAGCTAATCACTGGTCTTCATAACTGGCTGCGTTTTGTCCCGCGCTTTTCCACAAAGGTCGTGGACTCGGAAGCACAATTACTTGGACCGAATTTAGATGCTTGGTCTGGCAATGACCACATCCTCGCCCTCCCTGACATACCTACCAGCAATCTGGAAGCACCTAGCGTCAAGTGGCTGCTCGAGACGTCTACGGATCCTGAAGTATTTCTTGCCGCTGCGAGCCTTGTTCCGCAGGTCGAATGGCCCCTAGATTTTGACGTCTCAGACATGCTGCATCAGCTGTATGATACTTATACAAGCTGCGTCGGCTTCCATGGGCAAGTTATACCGTCGTTGAAGGGAAAGGCCTCAGCTTGTTCAGTGGCTATGAGTCATTTATATTGTGGCCGCGTTCTTCAAGCATATCCTACCCGTGGCGAATTTCTTGGTTGCAGCAAAAGAGACTATGACACGTTTCTTCAGATGACTCAGCGGGACATAGATAAAGCCGACAAGATGGTGCTTACTGCAGCTATGAATCTTTGTCTTCCGCAAGATGGCGATGACAGCTTTGGGTGGATTTTCTTGTATGGTTGTCCCGACTCTGTCGTGGAGTGGCTGTCTCATTCCCTTCCCTACTACTTTGTCACTAGGCGAACGAATGAAGGTATGCAAGAAATCGGCACAAATGTGATATCAAAACTGCTCTCATCTACATCCTCTCCATCGAATCAAATCATAGCCAATTGCACTCTTCTTGCTTGCGTCATGATCGGGGTTCAGTTTGACAAGAAGGACATAATTCGGATTGATAAAAGGTGACATCGACTCATTTGGTGCTTCTTCTGGTATGACTAACGAAGATATTGTATAGTTCTGCCCTGCCTCGATTTGCGAATACCCTTTTGGAGCAATTCGAAATTACTCTCCGGACACGTTATGGAGGTGATCTCAGCGACGACAGCACAGCCAGCGCATCTTGTGACTACATCCTCATCGAAGTCATTTGTCTTGTGCTCGAGTCTGCCAAAGATTACTATAATTCTAGTTCTTCATTGCACGCCATGCGGAACCTGGATGTGTGCAGGAAGATTGACTCACGAATCAGGTCATCTCGGGCCGAACAAAATTCTCCCCGGTACCTGTTGGAGGAAATGCAAAATGCACTGCCAAATGCACTGCGCTTCACGCTCACTGCTGCCAAAATATCTCGGGACCCTGTCAAATTGTGGCATTGCCAGTGTTTAGGGACAGGTGATTCCCATTCACCAGAAGACTTTGACTGGCTGGTCGACTACCTCGACGAGTGCATTCGCTTCGACGAGAAGGAAGTTTCATTTGACATCCTTTTAGTCCTGTTTGTCATCAAAGTACGCTACAGCCCTGCTAAACAGCATCAGTTCTTCAGTAGCCTCGTCACCTGCTTGCATACTGACGAATTACGTCATGCTGCTCTTCGCCTTGCCCACAGTGCCCGAGAAGATATAGTCTTGATCGATGCCATTGATGATGCGGAGCTGCAGAACATGATCTTGACCGAGTTCTCCCCCGCTATCCTGAGTGCAGTTCGTCCACAACCGGGTGTGACACCCTCCTATGATAGTCCTGAAGGCTTCGCCCGTGATCAGAGCGACTTGTGCTATCTCGAACTACTCTTTGCCCTCGCGAGGAATTCCAACTGGCACCTCTATTTGTTTGTGGATCAACATATAGATCGATGCATTAGCATGGTTGCAAAGTACCACGTCGGGAAACATGCATTTTACCTAGCTGGCATCCTCCTCCGGATCGCATCCGAACATCCGTTGGTTACATCTCTCAATTCTATTACAGAGTGGCGGTGGTGGAACTTGATGAGAAGTGCATGGAGCCATGCCAGCTCTACAACCAACGACATACATTGTTTCGAGTTCCTTCCCGTCCTTGTGGAAGGCACGAAGAGGTATATGCGCATTGCCGCACAGGAGAGCTATTCGTACGTTGGTGGGCAATTTGATCTCGAGAACCTCATTAGACATGCGGATAGTGTTCTTAATGCACCAGAGATGCGAGATTCACAGCAGGGAGAGGGTGAGAGTGTTGCCGTTGCTGTGAAAGAGTTGAGGACTGCTGCCAGCGATATGCTTGAGAAGTTGGTCAGCAGTCAAGGAGTTGCTAGTCCCTGATTATCACAGTATTTGCGTGTTGTGCTAGCGTCCTGGGACCAGAGAAAGGGATGGAGCGATACAACTGGGAGGGGATGAGTATCGCGACTGAAACAATATTGATATTCAATATATATATGCATCGTAGTCGAGTTTGTATCACAAAGTCCATGGTTTTCATCTCATCTAAGACCAAGTATGATCTACATTGAAAAAGAGCTTCTGAGGATTGACGAGGGAGAGAATGGGACCCATGAGGGACTAGCTTGTTTTTAGCTCAATACAAGTATTTGATGGGCGTATATATGCTCATCGATTTTAGCCTCCACAGCCATGTTCTTTGTGTCTGCCTCGAGACGCCTTGGAGGCAATCCCGCACCTGATTTCGCCGATCTTCGCGATGCAGTTCGTGGGTGCCTAGACTCAGCTCGTGAAGTTTAGATTTCAGAGGCGTTCTACTGCAACGTCGTTTGTGAACTGTTTTGAGAAGTTTTCATCGGTGTTCTGGGAGGACGCGTCGTACAATGGTTTCCGAGCCAGTGGTTGCGCTTTGACGTTGATGTCGAGCCTGCGCTGGTAATACGTTCCCACCCTCGTCCAGGAATTCTCCAGAGGGCGTCCGAGAAGCTGTTGGTGTGATTCAAATAAAAGAATGCAACACATACGAATCGCGTGATAGGCTTGACCCTTGCAAAGTATATACCTTCCGAGAAATCCTGCCTGCCTACGTTCGGTTAATACACAAGGGATGCAACTTTGGAGAGGACTTCTAAGACGTTAGAAGCTTTTTCGAATGATGGAAATAATACGCTACCGGTAGCGGGTGCGATCTGTGAGAGGACCGAGGTGAGGCCTGCCATCTGAGACCCGGATTAAATCCAGAAAGGGTAGTCAGAATAATAAAGTAGGTAGATAAATGAAGCGTACCGCATGCTAAGTAGCATATATGGACGCTATTGGGCGAACTTCTTCTATACCCGTTTCCATATAGTGTCCGACCCGACAGGCATCTCCATGCATAAAATTCAACCCTCTGACTCTTGATAGATGCGATGTGAATATAGGCCTCCAAGAAGTTGTATATGCAGGATTGGAGTAGGACTTGCTATTTCAAAGCTGCTCGAGGCCCTTCTTTGCATGTAGAATGGAATCGGTAAAGTAGAAGCTATTCAGACCTGAGGGCCGAAAGAGCGAGGGACTGGTGGGGGCACGGTCAGTATTTGGAAGAGGAATGTATACGGGGTTCTGCAAGCCGTGCATAGCGATGTCGTCTGCGAAAATATTGGCGAGCTTGGCAGGGATTTGTAGAAAGCCGAGTCAGGAAGGGAAGCGAGAGTCCATCAATAGTATTATCAATCATGGTGATGATGACACAGCAGAATTCCAAATAGCTCCATAGTACTGTAGAGATACGACACTAGGTTCGTCACAGGTCACAGCCCTTAACGAATCGAATCTATTTGGTGTGACTGTCACATGAATTTTTGGTGGGACGAAGCTAATTTGTGACATATGGGAAAAAAAACATAGGTTATGCGCTAATGGGACCAGAAATCATCATACATCGAATTTGCGATGCGTCTACGCTTTCCACGCCCGTAATCAACCTTCGGAACACTATTCGAGCCACTCTCCACATCTTTGGCAGTAATGTCACCCACATCATAGACTTCGGAGTGGTTTGAACACAGAAGTCCGCCATCTGCATCGATACGGCAGTCAGAACGGACGTGTTCACCCCCGGAAGCCATATGATCAAGGAGTGCATCCATTGGCACGTCACTGGCATCGAGGTCATGCTCGCTAGCATCGTCGAAGGGGGATTCGGCTCCGGTAGTATCAGTGGCCTCGTTCTCTGACTCGGAGTTTGTTGCCTGGTCAACGCTGACAGTCTTGTACTGAGCAGTAGCAATCCTCGTCCATCCAGCTGGATCATTCTTCTGAACATCACGTAAATATTGCAATGCCTCTCGACTTGCGAGGCTCGCGAATGAGAGATTGAAATTCTCCCCGGCCTTACACATGAAAAATGCCTTGAAAACATGATTTAGCTCCGTGCATCAAGATTCGACAGTGCGAGAAAATGAGAAACAAACCTGCTTTACAAGCTCAGGCTTGTTTATAGCGTGATATCCATTTATAACCCACCGCAATGACCAATCACGAAGGGTGCCAATTGTTGTGTCAAGTCTGATGAGTGACACAG